GTCTGTTCAGTTTGTATATCCTAATGATGGTAAAATTTTAGTTTCGGTCATCCCTATATTTAGATATCCAAACTATGTGATTTCCGTCAGATATGAAGGTCCAAATCGTTCAAAACACATCGAAAAACCATCGGAAAAATTTAGCGTGGATATTTAACCTAATTCCTGAGATTCCCTGGATGACCAAAACTAAAATATTCAAATGAAACTTTGATGTTCACGCGCAATTCTGAGGTGGACCGTTATCAGACAATTTGTTCTTTTTTCGGGTTGTTGGAACAATTAATAGCTACACAGTAATTGCATCCCATTATGGATGGTATTAAAAAAAGTGCGCAAGACAATAAAAAAACATAAATTCACCTATTACTGCTATTTTGTTTAACAAGTTGCCGCTTGACGGTGCCAGTCGGAGGTGAATGTTAAGGGTGAGCCAACCTCCTATAGTATAGAATCGTAGCTTTCAGGTACGAGGCTAGCTTGTTAAACGTAAGGTTTTGAAAGGTTTGTTTAGTGTTCTTTTTCGTATTTCCCCCACATTTTCCCTCTACTTTAAATCTCGGTAAAGTTTCTTGGACGTTTTGTGTTAAATATTGTCGAGGATTTAAAAATGAAATGACATCATTTGCGACGGAAATGTATGAGATATATTTATTGCATGTGTAAAAAATCCAGGATTCCATGGCTGTACGAGACTGTAATAATACCGATTAAAACAACATTTAAGATAATTGGCAATGAAAAATGACTATGCATTATTGACAGTAAACTCTGATCTGTTTGTCAGAGAGATCTAAGAATTTCATGGAAGAATAACTAACAATAAAGAAACACTAATATAAGTTTCGTATCCCGAGTCCAAAAATAAAACGTAGGCCTTTACAGGGGCGGATCCAGGAATATCAAAATGGGTAGTCAGGGAAGTTGTGGGTGAGGGAACATGTCGAGCAAAGCGAGTACACCCAGCTAAGGGTTTTTTTTAAATTTGACCAATATCATGGGCATTTTGAGGCCATTTTGAAGCCATGTACACTTGATATTAAGAGATATTCTGAGGTCAATAGTAATTACTTTTTACTCTACAAAAACGCCTGAGTACAATACTGCATTAAATAAAAAAAAGAGTTTCTGATAAAAAGGGGAGTCAGAACTCTCAGAACCCCACTGGATCCGCCCTCGTTTTAGCAGTAAAAGAATGCAAACATTTCTGCATGACATTGTCAGACAAAATTATAGTCCTCCCCAATTTCAATTTACATCGTCTTTTCTTGACATACATAATAGAAAATAGTTAAGTTATATGGGTAACTAATATTAACCTGGCTGAAACGGAATTTCAAGATTTTTTTTTTTTTGCGGGAGTAGGGCATAATTAAAAATGGCTTTCTTACCTCCATTACATTATTTTTAGAAAGATAAATTGCATATAAACTGAAATTAGACATGTTTAATTATGAAAAGCTAAAAATATATATATATTTTTTTCCAGATTTTCGAGAAAATGCGTCTGTAACTTAAGCATAAAACGACCTGTACATTTATATATTTTGCTTTATGTTCGTGTCATCTGATACAAATATGATAATTATATACGTGCAGGTGTGTGTGCAGGTGTATCTGCATGTATGTTACCAAGCATTTATCAACTTAGTATCGTGTAGCACTCAAGGGTGACTTTTACTTTTTTTTACTTTTATCCTCTTCGCCACTGATCGGCTTGTTAGCCGCTTGGGCGATCGGTCACGACTCTTTTCCTTTATATTCTTCACCAAAAGGTCGGCTCGCTAGCCGCCCGGGCGATCGGTCACGTCTCTGTCACGCACTGTTGGCAAATACTGGGCATGCACCGGCTCCTGAATGTACCTGAACCCGCTCCAGTGTTGGTCAAGTCTTCTCTTGAAAGAGCTCACACTCGGTGCCGTCACAACACTTTCTGGTAGATTGTTCCAAGAGTTTACAACCCTCACTCCGAAAAAGTTTGCCCTCACGGTTTTCCGGACTTGCGGCTTCTTCAATCTTGAGCTGTGACCCCTTGTGGGGCGAGCGTCCGCCAGCTCCAAGTAAGGACACTCAACTGAGTAGTGCCCCCTGAGATGCTTATAAACCTCAACTAGGTCCCCCCTTGCCCGTCTGTAGTATAAGCTAGGCAAGTTCAGGCGCTCCAATCTCGCAGGGTAGCTGAGATGCCGAAGTGCAGGCACCAGCTTGGTGGCCCTCCTTTGAACATTTTCAACCAACTGACAGTCCCTAGCATATCTCGGGGACCAGATGGGGTGACAGTACTCCAGATGGGGAAGCACTTCACTCCTGAAGATCGTCACGAGGGACGGACCGTCTAGATATCTGAACGACCTTCTTATAAGACCCAATAATTTATTTGCCTGATTTACCTTCTTCTCACAATGGCCCGAGAACTTCAGCTCATTGTCAACATACACACCTAGGTCCTTCTCACACACAGTCTCAACTAGTACATTTTCTTCATCCCGTTGGGACATATGGTACGCCTCCTTACCGTTGGTACGCCCCAGGTGCATCCTCTTACACTTCGTGACATTGAATCTCAGCAGCCATTCCTTCGACCATTCCTGGAGCCCACAGAGGTCCTTCTGCAGCTCTTCACAGTCCGCTTGGTTCTTAATTTCCCGAAATAACTTGGCGTCATCGGCAAACATTTGTATGGAGGAGTGTACAACGTCAGGCATATCATTTATGAAACAAACAAACAACAGCGGGCCCAATACACTACCCTGCGGTACCCCACTTGTTACAGGTACAGATGACGATTTCGTGCCATTAATCACCACACATTGCTTGCGGTCATGTAGAAAGTCTTCTATCCACGCTAGGACATTTCCCCGAATTCCGTACCCTTCCAGTTTGATTTTCAGCCTTTCGTGGGGTACACTGTCGAAAGCCTTGGCAAAATCTAGGTAAATATTGTCGATATTACCACCCCGTTCTAGAATATGGGTCCAAATATCCAATACCTTGAGCAATTGTGTCAAGCAAGAGCGCCCCGGCATAAAACCGTGTTGGCAATCTTTTACAAGGTTGTTTCGTAGTAGATGTTCCATCGCTGCATCTCTGATAATACTCTCAAGTACTTTACATATTATGCTGGTCAGGCTCACCGGTCTATAGTTGTTCGTGGAGTGCCTATCGCCCTTCTTGAAGATAGGACTCACATAAGCCACTTTCCATTCACTGGGGACCATTTGTTCATCCAGGCATTTACAAAACAGAATCTTCAGGGGCTCTGCAAGCTCGTTGCACAGCTCCCTTAGCACTCTAGGATGCACCATGTCAGGTCCAGGACTCTTATGGACCTTTAGCCTGGACAGTTTATTTCTAATACCCTCTTCTGTGAACACAATGTGGGTCAGTGCTGTGTCGAACCGTCTGTCCTCAAACGCAGGAAGGTTAGTTGCATCCTCTCTTGTGAACACTGAGGAAAAGAAGCTGTTCAATGCCTCAGCTTTATCCTGGTCAGAATCTGCGTAACTACCATCTTCAAGCCTCAGGTCTGATACTCCTACTCGCGTTTTCAATTTCGACTTTGCATAGCGGTAAAACGCCTTTGGGTTTGACTTGACCTCGCGTGCAACCAGCCTTTGGAACTCCTTTTCAGCCCTCCTACACTCTATCTTTGCTTGGTTTCTGGCTCTTGCATACATCCTCCTGTCTTGCTCATCGTTTGACCCAACCCACGTCTTGAATTTCTGGGTTTTCTTCTTAATTTTGTCGACCGCCGCATGGTTCATGTGTAGGGATCCCCTCGTATTCCTAGAAGCACTGGGTTTGGTCTTGGGTATATATTTATCGATCAAATGGGTCATTTTACTAGTTATGATATTCAGCGTAGTGTCTGCGTTCTTGTACCTTAATAAGTCAGGCCAGTTGATACCCCTCATCTCTTCCCTCATCCCATTGTAATTTCCCTTGTAATATTTGCACCTTGGCCTGGCCTTATCTTGAACTAGGTAACAGTTAAATCTGAATGACAACACTGTATGGTGACTGGTGCCAACTGGGGCAAGGTGTTCCAGTTTGGCCACCATACCCTCCTCGTTTGTTATGATGAGGTCAAGTGGCTTGGGTGTTTGCTCCCCTCTGTAATGTGTCGGGTCTCTCACATGTTGGAACAGAAAATTATCTCTCAGAGTTTCTACAAAAAGAGTAGCAGGATTATTCAAGTCATTCGGGGTTGACTCGTTTCTCCAGTCGATGTCGCCATAGTTAAAGTCCCCCATGATAAGGAGGTGGCTGGGGTTGAGCATCGCCGCATTGTTTATTAAGGTTCTTAAGTTCCTTTGATTTAGTGGGCCACAGTTCGGGGATCTGTAGATACACCCGACGATAAGTAAGTCCCCTCCCTTTAATTTAATTTTACACCACTTGGACTCTTCAAAGACATCCTCTCCCTGTACCCTCGCCTGGCTGGCTCTAAGGTCTTGCCTAGCGTAGATAACCACACCCCTCCTGCAGGATTCTTGAGTTAGGTTCGTAAATGAGTCATATCCAGCAATACTGAACTCACATTCCTCTGGGTCGATTCTCCTGTTCTTGTACAACAGTTCTACAACTCCTACAATATCTGGTTGGTGTACTCTTAGTAGTGTTTCAAACTCCTCCCTCTTATCCAGGAACGTGTCGGTATTAGTGTACATGACATTCAAGCCAGAATTTGTTCTCGGTAACGTCTCTGCTCTTAGTAATAAACCCGCTCCACCCACATTCTCAGAAGCTGCAGCATTTGCTATACCTTTCTCAAAACTGACACATCGTTGATCTTTACTACACACACGCACACATAATTTAGCCTTAACCTATATATGTAAAGAAATGCGTCTTAGAGTTGAATAATAAATGTGTATGATAATCCTGTTTATTCCACCGTGTCTTCATATTATAATATGTAATATGTATTTTTGTTTATTCCGCGACACTTTACAACATAAATGTGGACTTAATTTAATTTCATTGTATTTCCAGTTCGTGTTCTTGAGAAGGATGATCACCTACACGTATATGAGGTAAATGCTTGCAGTATTGACTGGATCACCTTAAAAATAGACACTCTGTATAGCTTATTTCACCTGACAATTATACACCCTAACCTTACCTAACCTAACATGCAACGAAATCCTGACACGTTCTCATCCCGGTGTTTTTCACTGCAGGAATATCTTTTTGGGTGTGATGATGGTGGTGGTCGTTATGTTGATCAGCGTGGAGCACAGCGGTGTGCTCGCCCCTACCAACCCTTATTACACTAGCAGCTCACGCAACACAATCGACGATCATTCCTACGATAACCAGTCCTCCGACTACCAGACAAGGGACGAGGGTTTAAACCTTGCCATGGACGATGAGATGATCACTCCACACCAAGGAAAAACGTCTTCGGGCATCCCGAGTTGCCAATGCAAAATGAGAATATTTAATGGTGGACGACAAATAGTACGCCACCTGGACTTAATGATATCTTGGCTCAACAAGACCACCAAGGAACAACTGGCCAACACTCACCCGAACTTTCCCGTAGACTTCTTGTACCAGATGAGCATGAAGCCAAGCTGTCACTTGTTACCATCACCCCTCAAGTGAGTAGTAGTTTTGTAAATAATGTCAGCTGTAAATATATCATATATATAACTGCCTATCTACGAGTATACCCAGCCTCCGTAGCAAGTAATACCCTGAAAATCTCCCCACCGATCTACAACCTATATTTATTGAGGTGTCATATTAGTCATTTTATGTTCTCCTTCCCTGCTTCTTTCAACTGAAGGGCGCCACATCCCTGCTTTGGGCATCCCCTACTATATCCCTCCATAAAAAATGGTGTCAGGCCATTGCACTATACAACTTCCTCTCATATTTCAGCTACTAATCGCCTCCACGACTCTCTCTCTCTCTCTCTCTCTCTCTCTACCAAACAGAGGTGATAATTAACCTACTAATCTCTATAATAAACTGAGCCCCGGCCACCAGTAGATATAGTCTTTAAAGATGCTAGAATTTGACGAATGAACATCTGGTTTGAGTTAAGTGTATCGGCCAATAAAGGTCACAGGAAAATGTATGGTAGTATCTCACATCAAAACCTCGAAGTGAATCACGTGTCTCTCTCCGACACGCAATAACACATACACTGTGTCCCTCCAGCATAGAGTGGAGGAATATGCACTGGCAGGAGGCGATGATCAACGGAACCAAAATCTACCTTTACTCTGCTTTCTACGACCCCATGCCAGGTGAGTTTACAGCGAGCCAGGGTCCTTAGGTCACTCTGAAGGATGGTCTCACTTAAGAATTAACCACCCAAACACTAACCTAGCCTAACCTGAATTAACCTAACCTAACCAAACCCCCAGGCAGCGGTAAGGTGGTTAATCTTCTGGTAAAATAAGCTGTGATGTCTAATCTTCACGTGATCCGAATATCAAAAGAAAAAGAAATGTTGAGCATGTAACCCAAAGATCAGAGGAAGATACTCGTTAACGTGGTGCTCTCTGGTACAGGCAGACAGCCGTGTGTGAGGGTGCTGGGCGTCACCAGGGCCACACACCCTCCTCCATGCTGGTGTCAACTGTGGTTCTCCCAACAAGGACCTCCTGTAGTGTCCAGTGTCACCTCCTACGGTAAGTTAACCCTTCACCTGGCCTCTGTTGCTGCTTCTAGGTGGCCTCTCTTGCTCCTAAGTGGCCTTGTTTCTTAATGGCCTCTGCTGCTTTTAAGTGACCTCTTTTGTTTCTAGATGAACTCTTTTGTGCAGCTGCCCTGACAACTATGTGATGTTTGGTTGTCTCCTCAGACTACCTGGACTGGCAGTACAGAAACAGCGGACGACAGATGACCTTCTTGTTTACCTGTCCGCTACCAGCAAAGGTGCGCCACCTCCAACCTGCCGCTGTCTCCCTCGTCCACCAGCCCTGCCACCCTGCCACCACCCTTCTCCAGGTACCCGGCCACCACCCTTCTCCAGGTATCCGGCCGCCACCCTTCTCCAGGTATCCGGCCATCACCCTGCTTAATCGTGGTGGCAGATCGTGTTTACTAATCACATTCACTATTGTTCACATTGTACTCGACAGCCGTCACTTTCCCAACGTAAAGTTAGACACACCCGTACACAGCTGAGTATACGGGAGTGGGAGGGGGGTGTCGAACTTAAACAAGAGGCGATCATTGTATCCAGTCAGCCACTAACCCCCCCACTCCTAATTACACACACACACACACACACACACACACACATTATCCATCGTCTGAGAATATAAATACAATTAACAGCCAGTGATGAGGAGTTAAAGATGTTGGTTGTTGATCAGAGTGAGTAGTGGTGAGTGAGTGTCATGATGGTGGTGAGTAACAGATGAAGGTGTCCGCAGGTCGTGGGTGCCAAGGAACGAGAATCGACAGCTTATCTTCCTGACCACAATCTTACGAATCCCGACAGGTAAGCCACCCTCTGTTTATTCCTGAACCACTTATCTCTCTCTCTCTTTCTCTTTCATTCTCTCATTCTCTCTCTCTCTCTCTCTCTCTCTCTCTCTCTCTCTCATTCTCCCCATTCTTCCTTCTTTCGTCTACAGAGTATCCAAAGTGAAGTGGGTACCTGCTGTGTGTGGACCTGCTCTCTATTACTACCACAATGATTTCTCCAAGCGCCTGGTGGAGTGGTTGGAATTCCTGAGGGCTGAGGGCTTCGGCAGGGTGTTCCTCTATGCCACCGACGTCCATCCTAACATAACTAAGGTCCTTAACTACTACAAGAAGGAAGGATTTATTCACCTGACGGATTATTCTTATCCTCCGCCGTATATTAATGAACCAAGTATACGCAGGTAGGATGGTTGTAGCTGTGTGTTAGGTAATGTTAGTTGTATGTTAGGTAATGTTAGTTGTATGTTAGGTAGATGTTAAGTTTACTCGTATTGAATGAGACTTTTCTTTCTAATTGTAAAGGATGTGATACTGTCGCTTCCTTCATTCCTTCCTTCCTTCCTTCCGTCCGTCCCTAAGGTTATGGACGGAAGTAGAGCGGAAGAAAATGTTCGCCCAGGAGAATATATACTTCACAGACTGTCTCCTCCGACACATGCATCAATACCGCTTCATCGCCCACTTTGACCCCGACGAGATACCCATCTTGCCCCACCACGACAACTTTATCCACTTCCTCCACCACCTGTTGACTGGGTAGGTGTTCCTCGACGCCTTTCTCATCGATCACCGCCAGTCAGGTTAAAACGAAGTTGGAACTGGGTATGGGGTGAAACATAGCCACTAAGACATTACCTATAGATACTGGTGTGTGTGTGTGTGTCGTGTTGCGTTGTGGACGTACTGTACTGTATATAGGTATTTAGACACAGAGGGTGATGACCCCCTACTCACATGACCTCGCCTGCGTGAGTAACTACAACACAGCTGTCCTTCCAGACCAGAACAGACTAAGGCGCGCAGGAAGACCGGTAAGAGGCCTGCGTCATACAGCCTCTCGTGGAAATACTTCTATGAGGACCTAGAATCTCAGAGCGAGTCCGCTAAGCTGCCGGAGTACCTGTGGGCGCTGAGGCACTCTCGTTGGGTCGTTAGGGACACCACTAAAAGCAAGAAGAAGCCTCTTTATGATATGGACATTGCCAGGGCTGGCTTCTCCCACGGTGTCATCCTGTGTACTACAGGTACACTCTGTGTTAATGTGTGTGTGTCAAGAACATGGTGTTTGGCACACACAAACACTAGATACTGTGTTACTCTTATGTCGTGTTTACTAGTCCCTGTACACCATACACCAATATAAACCCTTTATATTATAGACCCTGTATATTAAACCATGTATACAGACCTTGGCAGATAATGTACACATGTTATATCTCCTGTGCAGGGCAGTGTAGATTCACGGGTAAGTACAACATCCCTGATAGCGTCGCTTACCTGGGCCACTTCAGGGAAGGGGCGACGTGTGGACAGAGGTGCAAGTCAGCCAGCAGCACGAGGGAGGAGGTGTTCCTACACAGGTACCGGGAGCCAGTGTCCAAGGCTGTGACCAGTGTGCTTAAGGCGCTTGAACTTATATAGTAAAGAGTATGTCTGTGCCACACTACAGTAAGGTGCCACACTACAGTAAGGTGCCACACTACAGTAAGGTGCCACACTACAGTAAGGTGCCACACTACAGTAAGGTGTCACACTACAGTAAGGTGCCACACTACAGTAAGGTGCCACACTACAGTAAGGTGCCACACTACAGTAAGGTGCCACACTACCGTAAGGTGCCACACTACAGTAAGGTGCCACACTACAGTAGCACACTACAGGAAGGTGCCACACTACAGTAAGGTGCCACACACAGTAAGGTGCCACACTACAGTAAGGTGCCACACTACAGGAAGGTGCCACACTGCAGGAAGGAGAGACACTACAGTAAGGTGCCACACTACAGTAAAGCCACACTACAGTGGGTGCCACACTACAGTAAGGTGCCACACTACAGTAAGGTGCACACTACAGCACGCTAAAGGTGCCACACCACACAGTAAGGTGCCACACTACAGTAAGGGTGCCACACTACAGTAAGGTGCCACACTACAGTACACACTACAGTAAGGTGCCACACTACAGTAAGGTGCCACACTACAGTAAGGTGCCACGCTACAGTAAGGTGCCACGCTACAGGAAGGTGCCACACTCCAGGAAGGTGCCACACTACAGGAAGCTGAGACACTACAGGATGGTGCCACACTTCAGTAAGATGTGATAGTATTTTTTTCCAATATGTACACATTATTTTACTTAAATGTCTATTGTGTAATAATAAATACGGATACAATTATGTCTCTTATACCATGTGATCTCCCTTGTATAATAATAATAATAATAATAATAATAATAATAATAATAATAATAATAATAATAATAATAATAATAATAATAATAATAATAATAATAATAATAATAATAATAATAATAATAATAATAATAATAATAAAGAACCATAAAGAAATACAAAAATTAAAAAAAAAGATGAAAAGTGAGAAACAATATATGTATGTTGTGTTGTCAATAGTACGAGAAACAGTTGAGACTCTGCAATTGTGTGTAAATGAGGCAGTAAGTCAGATCATCAACCTGGGACTTGGTCACATATGGCAGCAGGGTCTACCATTAGAGAACACATTATGCTTCCAATATCTTCCCAGACGGTAGTACCTCCCTACGTATAACAACACATTAAGGCTTCAGTGTAAATAATACCATAAACTCCCGATATTTTAAATTTATTGGTTATTTTTTTTAGAACAATGAAAGAAAACATTGGCAAAAATGTGAACATGTTCCGTATTTTTTTATTAACTCCTAATTATCAAAATTTAAACTGCTTCTTTTGAAAGAAGTAAACATTACACTTACGAGGTTCTTAAGTAAACTTTGATCAGTCCTGGTAGTAACTTATACGTAATTAAACACTAGTGAGGTTCTGTTAAATAATTAAACATCTACTGACACCAGACAATAAGGATGGGAGTGAGTGGGTGTTGGGGGACAGCTCATCGTTTCAAAGTATCGAAGACTTCCATGGTGTGTCTGTTTCAGTCTTCAGGTGTGCTATTGATGAAGGCCAGGTGGACTATTGGACTTTCCGTGTTCCTTAATCAAGACTTGAGTAGACTTCGGACATCCCAGGACTTACATATATTAGACTTCACAACGCTCCCAAGACCCATGTAAGACTATGAAATCTTCATGAACCTCCAGGGGACACTGGGGACGTACTACCACAACCCTGCAGAACTCCTGAAGAAGGAATCTAAGGCGTGGTGCATCCTTGCCAGGCACACTTGTAGAATGCTCGAAACTGTAAAGGAGGAGGGGGGGGGTGATAAAGCAGATGTGAGTGATATTACTGACAGCGAGGTAAAGATGTGTGTGTGTGTGTGTGTGTGTGTGTGTTTTAATTATGTATCTATAACTAGTTTGTGTTGCCAGTAGTACTATGTAGGTACAACTAGGTTATATAATTCCAAAGTACATCATTATTTCTATGCCCAGGAAGAGTCCATGTATCAGTTAGTTAGTTACCCTTAGGGCTAGTGTGTGCCAACCCTTTCTTCAGGTAAACACACAGGGGAGATAGTACCCAAAACGTGTAATCAAGACAGGTGTGTGGCTTAGGCGACTGAGGACAGGTGTGTGTGATTAAGGGATACGGGTGTGTAACTCACGCTGGACTATGGAGGATAGGTGTGTGGCTTATATTAGACTACTGAGGACAGGTGTGCAACTTATATTATGTGACTTGGGACAGGTGTGTGATTTCGGGGTACAGGTGTTTAACTCACGCTGGACTCTGGAGGACAGAAGTTGATGCGGTCGACGAGTTTCTCCAGCAGCTCTGGCTCATTCTGTTCTACGAGGGCTATTGTCACCTTCTCCAGCACCGCGGTGATGTTAACCAGACCGCCGCTGTTCTGTTAGGCAAGGGGAGGGGGATTAATGCAACTAATTTAACATTAGGAATAAAAAGCTGAATGCAAACCTAACCTAACCTAACCTAATATTTCCTAATCATATCTGACTTAATCTAACCTAAAATGACCAAACGTAACCTGACTTAACCAAACCTCGGCAGACTGTATGTTACTCACCAGGCGTTGGCGAACACAGGCAAACATCGGACGGCTCAGCCCGGGGTTGCTCCTAGCCCAGTCGAAGAACTCTTGGCGTAACTCTTGTTGGCTCTTCCCGGCGGTCTCTAGCGGCGAGAAACGAAGCGAGGTCAAACGCCATTGCCGGAGATGAATTAGGAAAGCGTGATTGAGGGATAAAACACAAGGTCATTTCACAACAAACTAGGGAAGGCTAAAAATATAGGTCATCTCCAAGAAAATGAGGCAATAGACGGGGTCAGGTCGTGAGAATTAATAAAAACTGAGAAGAGTCGAAGGAATAGGTTAAGGTAGGCCACGAAAGGTTATTATTAGAAAATCTTCGACATACGGTATTCAGTGACTGGACCTTGAGGGAGTTATCTTGAGGTAATCAATTACTTTTGGGTGTTGTATAGGGAGTTTACCTGGGGGAAGTTCGATGTTGAGCTGGTTGGCACAGTCTTTTAAGTGCTCCAGCCTTCCTAGTACGCTGTGACACACCTTAACCTGCGGGCAGTAGCGAGCACAGGGTGGGGGTGAAATGATAGTAGTAGTAGTAGTATAAACATTATTACCATATACTCAACTAAAACATATATTAACAACAAACACAAACATTAATTACATCTCATTTTAGTTTATTTTCTATATATTAATCCAATTGACCTTTGACCTAGGCTGACCCTCCACTGACCCATTGTATGTACTCACCCGACGGAGGCACTCTGCTTGGTCAGTTGAGTTTGCACACTTCTTCTCTGTTGAGTGGAAAAAATAGGATTAGGTTAGGTTAGGTCAGATTAGGCTAGGCTAGGTTAGGTTAGGTTAGGTCAGGTCAGATTAGGCTAGGCTAGGTTAGGTTAGGTCAGATTAGGCTAGGTTAGGTTAGGTTAGGTTAGGTTGGATTTTGAGATACCTGTATTTTATGTTTTTATTCAACATATTTACGCCAGCATAACCACTGCATTTATTTGTTTATTTTAAAGTCAAAACAAAGGGGTAGAGTTCCGGGTGACAGTTCGATGTAAGCAAAGGGGGGTAAACAAAACGTGACGTCACGAGCCCACACAGCCATTTTTCGGGGCTCATGGCGATCAACTAACTCTTGAAAAGCCATTAAATTACCCAAATCCTACCACAGGTCTCTCTCTCTCTCTCTCTCTATCTCTCTCTCTCTCTCTCTCTCTCTCTCTGACGGTTCACTTATCTGTAGGGATGCACCGATACACATTTTGTACCGATTCCGATACTCCTTATATACTTATTTCAGTCTGAAGTATAATTTAATCTAATCTGATCTTATAGGATGAAAAGTCTAACTATCCTTAACTACACAGGTTGTTATTGTAAATATATGGATGGCTTTTTCGTTATTCATCATCTTGTTTCATTATGATCAAGTCCCAGACTGGTCCAGACTGGTCTCATGACTGTTCTGGCGCGGCAATTAACTCCATAGGAATATTGAGAATTAGACCTGTCCAAAAGACTAAGTTGGACCAGATCAGATTGGTCCAAACAGGATGGCAGGAATAGGCTGTATGTTAGAGCTGTACAGCATTACTACAAAATTTGGAGGTATGTACAGTACCAGTATCGGTATCGACCGATAGTAATCTTACCGGTACCCATACCGATTAATCGGTGCATCCCGAGTTATCTGATAAGACAATAGGAAACGCCAAGTGCCTCTGATAACGCCTCTGGTTACTCCAGGTTTTGCAAAAGAGAGATAGAGACGGGGAGGGAGAGGAAGAGATGTAGATGAAGAGAGAGAAGGGGAGTTTGGCTAAGTTTGATTAGCTTAGCTTAGCTTAGCTTAGCTTAGCTTAAGATTGCATAAGAATGATTCGACTTTAAGTGAAATAATCTAGAATAACGTAGAATTCTGTTTAATGAATTTTCTACTAAAATCCGTTCTGTAAAGTTTTTGTATGGCGTTGTGTTATGTAACCTTTTAATCATCTGTACATAAAGTAGCTATACATTTTCAAATAGATTACAGTGTACAAGCTCCACCCATCATAAGGTGTCAACGGGTACAAAAGAAACATCAATACCTAACCATGAATACCGGACAAGTGGGTACCGTAAATATCCCCCAACCTGACCTTGTTATCTCCCAGGGGTACACATGGGGGGCTTCCAGGGTATAATGAGGGCTGGTGAAAATCAATATAGAATATACCAATTTTACCAGATTCAATTCATGAGGTGATATGAATTTAATATTACGTTTACAATACCTAAAGTGGCTTCTGTCCAATTACCAAATATGTTTTATGACCGTCGCTCTATATTGAATTAGTGTTAATGTATTATCATTCTGTATTCAGTGTCTCAGTAATGGGGGTACGGGCTCAGGGTGTACCTGGTGAGAAACAGTTTGAGAACCCTTGCCTGAGACCTAAACTAACCAAGATTGGCACTCATTGGGACAGGTTTGGTTAGGTTAAGTTACGACCTATTTGTACTATAGGGGTCTATTGGGACTAAATTCTATTAACAATGGGGCCTGTTTGACCGGTCTCCTTTACTCTGCTATATGAAGCATACAGGAGAGGCGTCACTTACCGTAGCCACGTCCGTGATGTTTGCTTCTCATGGTGTTGGCGGGGACCAGCACAAGGGCGGACACCCCCAGCAGGAGCAGCACGGTGGCGACAGTCTTCATCACGGCGACTTCGGGAATAACACTGCCTCCCTTGCTCTTGCACTGGGTCTTTATCCATCGCTGGGCTTGCAGAGTTGCCGAGTGTGATATACAAGTCGAGGCCACACGACAAAACATGCTACAATTCGTCACCGGTTTATTAGCCATTTTTGAAAGTCATCTGACGGAGGACCTACTGGATGATTACAGATAGACCTTAGAGTGTGAAGCGTGGTGGGCGGTACGCAGTGAACCTGGCAACTGAAGCATGTAAAGAAATAAGTACAGGATGTGATGGATATACCCCACGCTAGCAGCCACTGGGAAGTCACGGGAGGAGGCACTACCGAACTGTACCGAATCTCACCCTTCTGCTCACACTCCTGTAGACACTACAATAACACACATTACCCCACAGCATTTTTTTTTTATTATTTTTTTTGTAAGTGTTCCTTGTTTCCGGTGATTTTATGCCTGACAGGTTGGGCAGTTCTTACACAACTCACGACACACCTGTAGAATATTCTGTATGTACACCGTGAGCATTACGAGGCGACTATGAGCTCATTAGTTAAAGTGATACGAAGCCAACATCCTCGTCACATTATATCAAAGAAAAATACATTACTTCAAAGTCATGTTGCATCAAGGCCCTCAAACACACACACACACACACACACACACACACACACACACACACACACACACACACACACATATTCTCAAAGATGTTTGTTTCTGCTACTGACGGCTTACACATCCTGTTGTGGCGTGGAGGTCCAGCAATGCACACACACACACACATGCAGTGAGTGTCAGGATAGAGGCTATACTGTATCTGCTTAAATCCGCCTCAAACCAGGAGCCACACCGACATCCCCCTGTGCCACCAGAACACTACACTCAGAACACTACACTCAGAACACTACACCCAGAACACTACACTCAGAACACTACACTCAGAACACTACACTCAGAACACTACATTCAGAACACTACTCAGAACACAACACTCAGAACACTACACCCAGAACACTACACTCAGAACACTACACCCAGAACACTACACTCAGAACACTACACTCAGAACACTACACTCAGAACACTACACTCAGAACACTACACCCAGAACTCTACACCCAGAACACTACACCCAGAACACTACACTCAGAACACTCCTTCAATACCCGTAGAATATTTACAACCTAGACAGTCACAAGAACAAAGGTGCATCAATTTTTTTTCTTCTTCAAAATAGAAAATCTCTCTCTCTCTCTCTCTCTCTCTCTCTCTCTCTCTCTCTCTCTCTCTATTCCTATTAGATCCCAAACATCATAATTGTGTGGGTCTACAATGGGTAGCCTGGAGGTTATCACTGCTGAGGTCTATTTGTCCAAGCAGGCACAACTACGGTCTTACCCACCCCCCCATCCCCTCCCCTCCCCTCCCCTACCAACCCCTTCCCCCTCCCTCCCTCCCTAGTGTCAGTCACGCAATAGAGGATGGCTAGTGGTGGTGGTGATGGTGACAGATACTATATTTATAAGACTCATAAGCATCACCTCAGGTATTGATTTTCTGAAGTAAGTAAGTAAGTAAGTAAGTAAGTAAGTGGTGTATCGTACATTTTTGCTTCACTTTGAGAGAAACTTCAAACTCTCTCCTGTAACCCGTTTAATGTAATTAGGAAACCTTTTATGTAACCCTGAACCAACAGCTAACACAGCTAGACCTCGTTTTGTGTTTGTTGTGATGGTGACTGTTACTTCTATTGTCCATACGTAATAAGATACGTTCTCATCCATGCTCAGGTTAGTAAGTTTCTTATGACAATTCTTAATAGTTTATTATGTATTTATTTATCACTGGTTTTAACGTTAGGTCACTTGACGTCGGTGACCTTAGATGATGGGTTGACAGGTGTTCTGAATTAAGGTAATGCGGATCTTAATTTAGGGGAAGTAAGGGACCTTAGAATAGAGGAACGAGGACCTAGGGTGTGGCCAGGAGCTCAGACGATGGTGGCGGGGATAACGACACAGGCCTGAGGTTCCTTAGCGGAGTCGAGGAGCTTGAAGGTGACGATGGTGGTAATCTGTAACAACAAGACGACGGGTGTTGAAGACGGCTCTCTGCTGTGGTGTTAAGCAGGACGTGTATAATTATTTGACTACCTCATAACACACAACCAGCGTCTCTTAACCACACACACACACACTACTGACCTTGGGGTACACCTTCAAGATATTAACCGGCATTAGCCAGTTCACGCGGCTGCCTTCAGTGATGGGACATTGCGTGTTAATGCAGGCGTCTGTGTTGACGCCAGGCCAGGGTACTTCAATCCCTCCAATGTAGGCGGACGCAGCGATCTTTAGCGTCTCTGTGTTCCGACCTGTTGAGTGTAGAGTTGTGTGTATAGTAGGCATCGAATGTATAACACCGTGTACAAGAGCTTATGGAGTTATTTTTGTCTGTGTATAGCTGTTTATCAAGTGTATAATACGTGTATAGTTTCTTGTCGAGTGTATGATACGTGTATAGCTAGCTGTCACTTCTTACATATTCTTCATTGCTTTATTATGAGGGTGAACGCGACAGGTATATGTACGTAACAGGTGTACGTGACAGGTGTAGGCAACAGGTGTACTCACTGGAGGTAAACTGTATGTTGACATCCAGAATGTCACCTCTCGGTAGATGACAAGGAGGAATATTACATCCTTCCACTTCCACCTTCACGTCAGACCCAACCGAACCTGTCGAGGATATTTAGTCACGGAATTACACCTGCCTATAACTTCACCACTTATATAACCACAATATACGGTCCCCTTATATCCACACAATTACTATATCACTGTAACTCTTCACTACTATAAACACACTGTAATACTCACCACAGTCCTCGAAGAAGGTAGCAGAGACGGTAGAGGCGAGACACACAGCCGTCACTAGAATATATCCACGCATTGTTGTGTTGTTGTTGAAGTGTAATGGAGGAGAGATAAGTTTACCCCTGCAACCATAACAAGAGGAGAGTTAAGTTACCCCTGCAGCCATAACAAGAGGAGAGTTAAGTTACCCCTGCAACCATAACAAGAGGAGAGTTAAGTTACCCCTGCAACCATAACAAGAGGAGAGTTAAGTTACCCCTGCAACCACCATAACAAGAGGAGAGTTAAGTTACCCCTGCAACCATAACAAGAGGAGAGTTAAGTTACCCCTGCAACCATAACAAGAGGAGAGTTAAGTTACCCCTGCAACCATAACAAGAGGAGAGTTACCCTGCAACCATAACAAGAGGAGAGTTAAGTTACCCCTGCAACCATAACAAGAGGAGAGTTAAGTTACCCCTGCAACCATAACAAGAGGAGAGTTAAGTTACCCCTGCAACCATAACAAGAGGAGAGTTAAGTTACCCCTGCAACCATAACAAGAGGAGAGTTAAGTTACCCCTGCAACCATAACAAGAGGAGAGTTAAGTTACCCCTGCAACCATAACAAAGGAAATCGTACATTAACTCAAATATATATAATTATAGTTCTAGTGTATCTAACTAAAGTATTCAAATATATTCCTTTATTGGTGTTGCTCTCATGAATAATAGTCACTTAAATGTTGTTATAAGGAGGTGTTTCAGGTGTGTGGGAGTGCGGGACGTGTTGGTGAAGAGAACAACAGCTGGCAGACTGTGGGTTATACCGTACAGTCACTCTAGATTGAAACAGATTATCTAGTAAAAAATACAGGTATAAAGTGAATAATAACAACAACATTTTAACCTGGCTGAGTAAGCTACCAGAGGTCTCTTAGTGGTGAATATTGTATTGAATTGAAACAGTTTATTTAGCCAGAAAAACACAGATACAGAGTGGATAATAATAACAATATTAACATGGCTGAGCCAGTTGAGAACCTGAGCTCTCTTTTAGGCACCTGATATATACTATGCATTTACCTCAAGGAAGTATTATGTAACTTTTAGTATCATCTGGAATAGCACAATAGCTTGGTGGTAATAATAACATCTCATAATGTTACCACGGTTATCACTTTAATATTTATTTACTTTATTATTTTTTTATACATAAATTACAGTGGAATTGAAAAACATAAGCATAATGGGGGAGCAGTACAGCCTGGGTTGTACAGTAATAAGGTTGAACAAGAGGACAGAGCTGTCAGGATTATGTCTAGTTGGCAATTATGTTTATTGCAACCGTAATTACTTATCTAATACATGATAATTTCCGATAAAACGGTTTTGATGGTACAATAAAAGAAGGTACTGTAAATATAGTAGGTGTTACAAGAAATATTAATACTTAGACCATAGATATTTTTTAAGAGATGATGTAGAAGACGATGAAGAGGGCTGGGTATAGTGTAAGTGACGGGCTTGAGAGTAAATATAAGAGATGAGGAGGATACAAGGAGTAAGAGATATGAGAAGACGTCGTGAAGGTTGTGTCAGCCAGAGGTGCTGACCACAGTAAGCTGAGGTAGTATTGTGTCTACTATAGGCGGGCAAGGGGTGACTTAACTGAAGTTTTCAAACATCTCAGAGGGTACTGCTTAGTCGCGTGTCCATACCTGGAGGTGGTGGACGCCCGCTCCACTAGATATCACAACTCAAGGTTGAAGAAGTCACTAGTCCACAAAATTGTGAGGGAAAACATTTTGGGAATGAGAACTGTAAACTCTTGGAACAATCTGCCAGAGAGTGTTGTGACAACACCGAGTGTGAGCTCTTTCATGACCAGACTTGACCAACACTAGTGCAGGTACAGATACACCCTGGAGCCAGTATATGCCCAGTTATAGCCAACGATGAGAGACGTAACCGACCGCCCAAGTGGCTAACGAGTCGATCAGTGGCAAAGATGATAAAAGTAAAAATAAAGGAGATATTGAGAGATTAAGAAAAACAAAAAAAGATACATGCTTAAAATAATCTAATATCCAGCACTCGATGGTAAAGGAAGGAATGAGATGAGAAAGGTAGAGCAGAGGCTGGAGATAGGCAGCCAGGGGACAGGAGTACTGTAGGTAGTCATCATCAGGTAGTACTGTATATCTTCAAGTAGCTTCTTAAAGGGGGCTGAAATCACTAGAGAAACAGATGAAGCTGCTCCATAGCCGCCGACCTACCTGTGCCAGAAGGGAGCCTAGGCGATTAGAGAGAGATCTACTCCCTACACCTTTATATACTCCACACACACACACACAGTAGGTAGTAGGCCTGTGGAAGACCGTCCAGGTGGCGTCTCACACACATGTTCACTTCCCAAGGGTTATGTTACATCATGATATCATAGTGTCTTCCCTCTCTTATCCTAAATGTTGTCTGTCTGTCTGTCTGTCTTCACTCCTCAGAATGAATCCCGGGCCTTCAACGAGTGATGCCATCTCCTTATGACGCACAAACACATAGACAAGACGTGAATTGATGCCGTCACTTAGAATACCGCCTGAGGAGCCACGGGCAAGGTTAGGTTAGGTTAGGTTGAGTTATAAAGCTGAATTAAGTTAGGTTAATTAGCTCAGGTTAAGAAAAGTTAGTTTAGATTAAGTTTAAGTTGAAGGAAGTTTAAGGGAGGTTTAGGTCAGTTTGTTATAAAGTTAAGGCAAGCTAAGTTAAGGTAAATTAGGTTAAGTTAAGGTAAGTTACGTTAAGGTAAATTAAGTTAAGCTAAGGGAGGTTAAGTTAAGGTAAATTATGTTAAGTTAAGGCAAGTTAGGTTAAGGTAAATTAGGTTAAGTTAAGGGAGGTTAAGTAATGGTAAGTTATGTTAAGGTAAATTAAATTAGCAGGACCGAATCCAGGCCGATGTAACCGAGCCTCTTACATCACTCAAAAATTTATGACCGATACCAAGGATCATTATACAGCGGTGGAATTATTGACCTGTCGGTACTGTGATCTGAGCGACCGTGTTGACCTGCCCGGCCCACCACTTGCTGACCGTAGCCGTAACTGTCTGTACCTGAGTGGCAAGTTTTCTGATTTTCAACTCTAGATATCTCGGTCATGGGTAAAAATGCGCCAAAAGTTTAATGGATGAAAATCGTCCTGTTTTAGTGTGAAATTATGATCAGAAACAAAACAAAATCAATATCGAGTTATGCCCTCTTGCTGTAAATTAACCACAGTAGTGAATGGGCCAGAACTGACATACACCTTAGGGTGTGTCAATTTTGTCAACATGTTAAAAATCAAATTTGGTAGTCAAAATATTGTGCCTCTTTATATCTAAACTTGAGATTAGCAAACAAAAATGAATTGAAATAACCCTCACCTACATCAATTATACCTTAAAGTTTCAAATATCAGTATTTCAACAAATTAATGAGACTTGATTAGAATTATTCACTTGATATTAACTAATCTCATGTAAGCATATGGATTATGGAGTATTTTATGGTTCTATAGCTTGTGTACAATATGCATGTCAGAACATGAACATGAACAGGCTCTCCGTGTGGGACAGTTTAATTCTTGTTTTGACTTGTACCAAGCGTGAGGATAAGGCGCCCGGCTCACTCTCCTTCTAGATATCATAGACGGTGGTTTGCTCTCATTGCACTTGCACCTACTCTACCAGACGAATTCTACATTTTAATTATTGTAAGTAGGGCATATTGATTGTCGCAGTTACTTATATCATTGTATAAAACATTATGTTCTAAGAAATTATTATGTTATTTCTGTTACAGCATTTTTGATAAACAAATTGATATTTTTTGAAACAACAATTGAATTATGAAACATTGAAATATTTTTCTATTTGTCAGATAGTGTGAAGATGTCAAAATTGAAGACAAGAAGTCAGTTGTCAACCCACTTGAGCCTGCTAGTTGGTAAAGGGAAGGAGCTTCCTGTATCAGAACTTCCAACAGTGAGAGACATGCTAAGATTAGGGTTACTCCTTCGAGAAAAAAATGCAAAGGACAGAAGGAACTATACAGATAAAGAACTCATAAATGACATGATAGTCCCTCTTCTGCATCAATGGACAAAAGCTAATGCACTATTCAAACCACCTGTGATTAATCAGTGTCGAACTATTGAGCTAAAACTAACGAAATTATGGCACAAAGCAGTTGAAACATCACTTGGTAAAGGAAACTTGGCCAGGAAAAATGAATTTCTGCACACACTTGATACTCTGTTTGACATTTTGACCTGCAAGTGCTCCATACAATTATGTTCTGAATCCAACTGTTCTCACTCAGGTAAGAGAAAATAATTCCCACATTGATTGTGGTTGTCCTCGTGAAAAGAAGATCCCTGTTTTAGAGCTTGAATTTATAAAGGCACAGAGGACAAAGGCAGAAGGCCAAGGAAGTATGCAAATGGGTTCAATAGATTATTCAGAAACAAAGAAGCAGATTGCTAATGCCAAGAAGAGAGAACAAATCCGAGAGAGGGAACAAAAGAAGAAAATGAAGAAGCCATCCAAAGAGAGGAAGAGCTGTGTCAAGATGTTTATCACTTCTTTGATAGTTCTTCTGATGAACAGGAAGCAACATCAGATGATAGTTCCAAAGAGCCATCTGAACCTTTACCAAAGAAAATGAAATACAACACAAGAAATATTTCAAACATTGCTTTAGCTAGTATTCGCCACCATGCTGGACTTCGTGAGGCTGCAGAAATTGCAACTGCCGCTTGGATAGATGCAGGCCTCATCAGCCGAGAGGATGTATCTTTGGTGATAGATCATAATAAAATTAGAAGAGCACAAGAAAAAATAATGAAGGAAATATCTGATCAGCATGAAAAAGATTTAAGCGAGGGAGGGCTCTCCTGTCTTTTGTTTGATGGAAGAATAGATGACACAAAAGTTTTGCTAGAAGTAGAGGGAGTGAACAGAAAGTTTCCAGGTCTCATCAAAGAAGAACACTACTCTGTCTGTTCTGAGCCTGGTGGTCGGTTTTTGTTTCACTTTGCTCCCGAAACTGAAGTAGAAGGGAAGAAACATGCAGAGGTCATTGCTGATCATATTTTATGTTGGGTTCAGGAGAGAGGACTTGGCAGTTCACTGCAGGCTGTTGGTGGAGATTCAACTGCAGTGAACACCGGATGGCAGGGGGGTGTAATGACGCATTTAGAGAAAAAACTAGGAAGAAGACTTGTTTGGATTGTATGTGATTTACATACAGGCGAGCTACCTCTTCGTCATCTCATCCAGGAACTTGATGGTCCTACAAAGAGCAACAACAAGTGGTCAGGTCCCCTTGGCATCATGCTGGATGAAGCAACACAACTAGAAATAAATACAACCTTTCCAAAGGTCGAAGTTGGCCCTCCCCTTCCGGCGTTGTCTGAAGGAGTCATCAAAGATCTCAGCACAGATCAATCCTATGCTTATCGTATTGCCCAAGCAATAAGATCAGGAGAAGTGCCTCAGTCATTGGCTCTCTTGGAGATTGGACCTGTCAGTCACAGCCGTTGGTTAACTACAGCTCTTCGTTTCTGCAGGATTTGGATTTCCAAACACGAATTGAAGGGCAAAGTGCTGAAGAATTTGAGGTTAATTGTTGAATTTATTATTGGAGTTTATCTTCCCCAGTGGTTTAGTGTGAAACTTAATCCTATGTGGGTGGATGGGCCCAATCACCTTTTGTTTCAATTGCAGCTAGTAAGAACACAGAGGAAGGTAGTGAGGGACATCGTGTTACCTGTGGCAAGAAGGTCCGCTTGGTATGCTCGATCAGAAGCAGTTTTGCAAGCAATGCTTTGCAGTCAATGTACCAATCTCCGAACCGAGGATGTAGAAGTAATTCTAAAGATTAGAGGAACGCTAATAGATGAGGACCAGTTGGGAGACTGATCGTTTCATTCAAGAAAAGTTCCCCCAATAAACGTCAATGCCACCAAATTGTCAGAATTGGTTGACTTGAGTTTGGAAGTCTTAGAGCCACCATTGACAACAAGTCTAACTAGCCAAGAATTGAGAAACCTTAAAGAGACTCCAATGCAGGTGCCGAAGTGGCCTTCCCACACTCAAAGTGTGGAGAGATGTGTGAAAATGGTCACAGAAGCAGCGGGCCATGTTTACAGCCACGAGAGGCGAGAAGGTTACATCAAAGCACAAATAATAAGCAGACTACTGATGACAAGAAACCAAAGCAAAGAGAGTATGAAGGCATTGGTTACTTTCAAATAGACTACGGATAATAAAATATAATAATTTGAAACTTGAAACAGTAACATGTGTGCAAACGCTGGTTATGTTATAAATTCACAAATATGTACATGTAAAAATCCATTTGATGTAGGTAGGACGTATTATAAAAAAAAATTTATGCCAGAATATTGTTTTGCATGCTTAAAGACTACAATAAATTGCTACCAAATTACTCGATTTTCAATTTACCCAGTTCACCCCCTAAATTGACACACCTAATACACCTGCTAGCTAGACCCAAAAAAAAGTCTATGAGGTGCAGATATATCCAGGAGCTAATACTTGCCCCGTAAGCTACCTGCCAACAGTGTGTAACAGAAACGTGGCTGACCGCCCAAGCGGCTAATGAGCCGATCAGTGGCGAAGAGGATAAAAGTAAAAGATTAAAAATACGAAGATGTAGAATGGGCTGTGAGGATTCCGTAGACTTGTTGAAAAATCTACAAAAACTGAAAGATTTAATCGGTCAATTTTGAGGTTTGGTGCCCGTCATTATCAGCTGCCCATCATTCTCCATTATCAGCTGCCCGTCCATTCATTATCAGCTGCCCGTCCATTCATTATCAGCTGCCCGTCCATTCATTGTCAGCTGCCCGTCCATTCATTGTCAGCTGCCCATCCATTCATTGTCAGCTGCCCGTCCATTCATTGTCAGCTGCCCGTCCATTCATTGTCAGCTGCCTGTTCTGTAATTGTTAGTTGTCTGTACCAGTTAGTGTCAATTAATTATAAAAAAATAATGTCAGCCGATTCTATCCTTCAAGACAATCAATAACATTCATCCATTACCGTTATTGTTTGAGAAGAAAAAAAGTTAATTGCGTATTTTTAAATTACCTTTGCTTGATCTTTTGTATAACTGCTGAACTTATATAAAACATTCACTTAAGGTTCTTCTTCTGGTTTATAGATGATAACGATATACCACCTTAACATTCCCGTCACAACATGATAACCAGAGTACAGATTCTGGGTGTCCTATACCATCTCCAGGAGCCCGTACAGTACATGTCCAGTACTTGTCAACAGATATCAAACCGAAGAAGTACGAGTGGGAAAAACGTAATCAAGAACCTAACCTAACCTAACCAAAGTCGTATTCCTTGACCCTGATTACGTAATGTTTTATCCAAAGATCTTTCACAAGTATCCAGAAAAAAATAATCGTGGTCGTGAGAACAGCTGACGTGGCGACACTACCGGAGGATGTCTGCAGGTGACGATTCTCCCACAGTGTGTAACGTGACGTGCAGGTCTGGCCAGGGGGCGGAGAACACCATACTCTTGTGATCACCTCTCTCTCTCTCTCTCTCTCTCTCTCTCTCTCTCTCTCTCTCTCTCTCTCTCTCTCTCCCTTTCGTTAGTTATATCACCCCACTGAATTAAATTTTGTTTGAATGAGTTTATTTATTTACCATCGAAATCTGCCACTCTTTGACGTCAGTACCCCCGAGTCTTGGACCAATCATAATGCTTTACATGCCTGAAGCTTATTGCTATTGGATACTTTAAATTCTATTCCTATATTCTTGTAACCTCTATCAGCTGTTGGTCTATCCGGTGTTAGTTCAGGAAGAAGCCGGAGTCACGCTGCATAACACCCTTGAAGCCCTCAATACCCTTCTCATCAGGTGTGTCCGGGCCAAGCAGGACTCGAACCCCTGACACGGTCATGAGAGATACGCACATTACCAATTTATTGCCGCCTTTATTTCAGCTTCAACCTCTTCATTCCACATCGCTTATATTGTTTCTTTTATATTTTTTTTTTCCATTTCTTGAAGTTTCGTCTCATTGAAAAGTTACCAAGTTGTTCTCATCCATACCTACTGACTCCTACAGTGACTGAGGCCTTGTTGCTGTAATTGTTGTTGTTATTGTAATTGTTGTTGCTGCTGTTGTTCGTTGTGTGTTTATATTTAGGAGTTTTTGGTCAATATGCTATTTTTTCTTAGTTTTCTTATTATTATGGTTATAGAATACTTTTCAGGGTTTAATAATTTGGTGTGTGTGTGTGTGTGTCACAAAATATAACCTCCTCCTCCTCCCCCTCCTCTCGTGACGTATGTTCATTAAAACAACTCATGCTTAATAAATAATAAAAAAAACATTAAATCAACAAACAAACAAACAGACGATTAACTTCACTTAAAAATTATCCAGCAATCTAATTATCCTCCCCCCCCCCACACACAAATAATTTATTAATTATCTTCTACATAAAAACAATAACAACACTTGACAAAGACACTCAAACTCTTATTTTGTAGATAAATTTAATTAAGGTTAAGTATATCGTTGATCAGAGGTTACGGTCATTACTACAGTGTTTCATAATACTTATTTTGGCCCTTCATCGTCCACGGGGTTCATACTGTCTGTGGCGACTGCCCAGCTGTGACGTGGAGAGGGGACATACCCTACTAGTACATATTACCCCCCTTCCCCCCCCCCTCCCTTCCTGTACCCCGCAGACCAGATGATGACCCTGACCCGTTCACCGCTTGCTGGCACCCACGGGTCACCTGCCACCTGCTTACAGTCACTCACACACACACGGTAATGACTTGCTCCCTCTCTCCTTCTTTGTTGCTCCTTCGTCCCTTCTTCGCCCATTCTCCATTCTCTTCTCTCTAGCTTTTATCTATCCCTCTTCTTCCTTCCACCTTTCCTTGTTCTACCCCCCCCTCACTTATCCCCTTCTTTCTCTGCTGTATCGCTTGGCCCCTCCCTTCCCCTCCCCTCCCATTCCACAAACTCAGACAACTAGGAGCACTTCAGGGGTTTCTTGGCCAGTCAGTACTACCACCACTATCACCACCATTCCTATCAACGCTATTTAGGAGTCTTAAATATTACGTGTGAACTCTCGGTATATAGAAGACTACACGGAACTCTTAATTAAATAGTACTTCGTGAGGGGAGGAGCCTGAAGAAGCTATGTACAAGGTATGGAAGAGTACAGGTCGCTTATACTTTATTTTGGGGTAAAGGATCCGCTTATTATTGTGTTGTCATCGGTAAAGCTTGGTTAAGTTAGGTTAGGTAAATTTAGGTTAGGTTAGGAGATTTTGCCAAACAATATTGGATTAAGCCAAAACTTTCTCGTATTTCTTAATAAAACAGTCATGTTACTTTTGACAGAGGAGGAGGAGGAGGTGTTGAGGGAAGATAAGAGGTAAAAGAAGAAGAAGAGAAGTGGGTGGGAGAAGAGGAGGAAGAGAAAGTGGTGGAGATGGAGGAGAAAGAGAAAAAGTTATGGACATGTAAGAGAAGAGGGAGAGTGAGAAGGTATAGATGGAGAAAGGGAAACTGATGGATGAGATGGAAGAAAAATCAGATGAGGGAAGAAAGTGTGGAGAAGAAAGAAGGAAGAAGAGGAGGAGGTAGGAGGAGGAGGAGGAGGAGGAGGAAGCCTTAGGTAGTGGAGGTGACCCCACGAGCAGAACGCACCCCATTGTCAACAAGACGCTGCTACTCTCTGGTCACTTGTCGCCAATACAACATTTCTGGCTGTATACACACTAGAGAAAACAAAAGACAAAGAGAAAGAAAAAGACAGAGAAAAAGAGAAAGAGAAACACCCGAAAGTGACATTAATCACACAACTAATGGAAGCTTAAAAACATCAATCATGCTAATAGGAAAATCATAAACTTGTGAATTAAATTATAAGGATTTTTTTTTAACGACATAGCTTAAAGTTGAACGTTGAAAGTGATTGTTGAAAAAGCAATATTAAATGGCCGTGGTGTTTTGGGGAAAGAATTGGTGATCTAACAAACAGAAAAATTTTGTTTGTTTTGTTTTTCGTATGAGGAGAACGTCCCTACAACATCACATATAGTTTAGAGCCCCCCCAGGAGGAGTGGTCCTTGGCGCCCTGGTGGTGACTGTGTGGAACAAGATCGAGACCTCAGCAGTGACTAGGTGGAGGAGGCGTCGATGTAGCAGAAGAGGTGCAGGACGCAGGGTGAGTGAGAGGAGTAGGTGGAGTGAGTAGAAGTAGAGGAGGATAAAGGGTGAGTAGAGGAGGAGGAGGAGGAGAACAAGGAGGCGAGTAGAGCAGGAGGAAGAAGACAAGGGATGAAGAGGAGGACAACAAGGAGGCGAGTAGAAGGAACTAATAAATGATGAGGGTAGTGAAATGGAACCCAGTAGCATACACAACCAAGTGAAGTTCCATCAACAAAATCAATATCAATCTAAGAGTTACACCCTAGACAAACGCACACACACACACATCCTTATATCTCAAAGCTTGTACAGTATATATAAAATAATCACTATTCTTGCATTATATCGAGCAGTCAAGAATTTTTGTACACGGATAACTTGAACTCGTGTTGTCAGGAAAAGAGTAGTACTTGAACTGGATTTTTCTCGTCAGGTTAACATTGTTCCATTCATCAAACATAATACTAGATTAACAATATATAAAACATTGATCGGGAATAGCATTAGATTAAGGTCTAGATTAGGTTAGGTTAGCTTGTGGATATAGTAGCCGTAGTTAGCAGTTTGTTATAGTTTAAGTTTGGTTCATTAGCTAAGTCAAGAGGTCTTTTACGTGAAAGATTGATACCCAATGCTGATATTATTATTATTATTATTATTATTATTATTATTATTATTAAACAGAGCCTCAGTATAACTTATATTTAGACGATTCATTTGTCTTGTAACTTAAGGCAGCCAGTAAAGTGCAGTCCTAATCTTCACTTCCGTGAACTATTCCGCTTAAGAAACTCCGAGAAACTGCCGGACCCATTGAGCTGTAGAAGGGAAATGACTGAGGTGTGTGTATGTGTGGGACGTCATTATCAAGTCAGAATAATATGACAATGATTTCCATCTAGTTTATCAGAGCTGTGTAGGGTGACGCGTGACACCTGTCGGCTCCTACACTCTACCAGCGACGCCGCCCCCTCTAGCCTGATGACTCTCTCTCTCTCTCTCTCTCTCTCTCTCTCTGTTGTTAGTATGAAGCATTATTATTGTTAGCTCAAATGACGCGCCCAAGGTTAAGCTCAAATTTCGTTTAATAAAATATTATCTCATATGGGTCGTCTTTGCTTTCCTAGGTCAAGGACTTTGATGTTGCTGCTGCGTCTAACCTAATCAAACCAAAGTCGTATTCCTTGATCTTGATTACCTAGTGGTTTATGGTGTAATTACTTTAAACCATCGCCCTAAAAGGTTTATAAATTAAACCTTTATGAGTTATGGTTTATCTTAAGTTAACCAGATAGCGTCGTTATTACTCCGCCACTTATGAGCAAGATTCTTATTACGTGGCTCTGGTCTTCACCCCAGCCTCGCTCTCATAATGGCTTACATTACTCATAGTGTTGAGGTGTGTTCGTAGGAGGAATCCCTCAAGTGGTGGGGCGGCTCTGTAGGCCAACTCACGTAAGCCTATTGTCTGGTGCCAACATAGGATATCCGGGCCCTCATGTGTGTGTGTGTGTGTGTTCTCACTTTACAAAAACGAATCAAAATGGTCGTGGTGGTGATGGTGACACCCGCCCCAGGTCAACGGTACTACACTAAACACACTTGGACATGCAAGAGAGACCCTCCCTTACTGGTACACAGGTAACCGACACTACGCAGTTTCCAGAGTGAAGCCATCCGCGTATTGCATCATAAGAAACTTCAAACACATCTAATAAATCAAACATTCTAGCATAAACTGTCAGTCAAACATTCTAGCATAAACTGTCAGTCAAACATTCTAGCATAAACTGTCAGTCAAACATTCTAGCATAAACTGTCAGTCAAACATCCAAACACATACACAGTTTATATATGAATCAAATGCCTTACTCATTTTATGAATCAAATATCGTTGTTTTATTGTTCGAATTAGTTGAAATGGATGGAGTACAATGTTCATGCTGAGAGCTTTTATATTATTAGGACAAAGATCGTGTTTGGGGCACGTTAATGGTGGTGATGATGGGGATAGTGTTGGTGATGGTGACGGCGGTGGTGATGATGTTCGTGATAGTTATGGTTGTGATAGTCGTGATGGTGATTGAGACGATATAGGTGGTGGTAATAGGATAGTAGTGGTGGTGGTAATGGAGAATTGGGGGGAGGTAGTGTGTTTGGAAGCCCTAGCAAAGTCGACCTCGGTAATTCAGTGAGAGAGCGAGGGAAACCTTTGAACTTTATGCAGGTGTATGACCCAGGGTGTGTTTACAGGGATATATGTGGGACGAAAGTTTGCTTCTCCGCCTCACCCACCACCAACACAGACTAGCCCAAGGAATGGAAACAACATCACGACGAGGAAGACATTAAAGGGTGTGGTAACTAAACATAGGAGAGGGAAGTAAGTATGGATGAAGGGGACGGTGGGTGAAGGTGCAACCATCCTGGAGGTTTGGGGGCGGCGTAACAGTTGGTCGGACGGTGTTAAAGAATGTGGATAAGTGTGTCCAGGTTGGTGTTTATCTGCCTTTGGTGTCGATAATAACTGTAGTGTATAATCAATATTTGCTTTTAGAGAATGTTATGAAGACGTTACAGAAAATGGTGAAAGGGGAAACATGTATAATTATTTTATGTAACTCTCCAGGGGCGGATACAAGGGGGAGGTGACCCCCCTTTCATCAGAAAATTCCAATATTTTTTCTTTAATGCAGTTTTGTACTCAGACATTTTTGTATAATAAAAAATATACTATTGACTTCAGAATATCTCCTAATATGAAGTGCAAAGAGCTTCAAAATGGCCTCAAAATGCCCATGATATTGGTCAGATCTCCTATTATTGTTGTTGTTACTGTACTTTGGTTTTGGTTATTCAATCTTCGCTTGATGATCTTCTCTCTCTCTCTCTCTCTCTCGGTGTCACAGGCAGCAGATCACAGGTGGGGGAGCGACAATGGGTAGTGGTGAAGTTCCCAGCCTCATCCCTCCGCCGGTCCCGCCAGCTCGCCCAGGTCTGTTTATGCCCATCCCTCCCACCTATTCTCCTCGATACCTCACGCCTCTCACTTACGTTAACACCACCTCTGCTGCTGCTGCTGCTGCTACTGTTGCTGCTGGCACCATATCTGCTGCTGTTGCTCCTCTCGCTGCTGCTGCTCCTGTTGCGAGATGTGTTGCTGTTTCTGCTGCCGTTGTTACTGCTCCTGTTGCAAGCGATGCGGGTACTGGTGGTAGTGGTAACAATGTGGTGACGAAAGTGGGCAAAACGAGTGAGTGTCTGCCTATTACGCCCGCCAGCAAGTTCAAACGCTTTAAGTCCTTCCTAAAGTCGACCAGACGAGGTAGGGGCTTCTTGCTTGACGAAATGCTCGACGTTATACAAGTGGAATTTTCTCTTTTCCGCATTTTTTTTTATGAAGGTCCCATTGATAACTATGTTTTGTGTTGTTACTTTAAAGTCTCAGAATTTCGTTTACACAGGAAGACACTGAAGGAATAAAATAACTGTTACATCAAGGTTTAAGATTGCTTAAGTATTGCCGAAATATTCACGGTTAATATAATACCCTCAAAAGCCCTTCGGTTTCCTTATTTTTAATGAAGATTAATAGTCTTCTTTCTATCTCTTCTCACTTCACACTCTCCTTCTCAACATAACACTATTTTTTTTTCAGATCGCGGCAAGAAGGTTGAGAGGAACAAACGAAGTGAAGGTCCCCGACAGGAGTCAGAAGGGGGGCACAAGGGACAGCGTGCTGGAGGAAGTAATGCTGCCACACACAAGATCAAGGCTCATCCCTTCTGTGACGAGCTGCCGGTGTCAGCAGCAGGAGAGGACAGGCAGAGTCAGCCTGTTCCCTCTCGTAGATCCTTCAGGCTGGCAGGCCACGTCTCTGACCTCAGCAATAAACGCAACATGCTGCCGCTCTGGCTTGAGGAGAACAATGGCGTGGTGAGACAGGTCGTGTTGAACACCAAAACAAACGAGGAAACTTTACCCGCTAATAATGACACTCCCTTTGAAACTCGGTGGGATTCACTGAGAGGTAAAAATAAGATACGTTCCTCAAGTCACTCAGAGAAGAGACCACCGGGATGGGAAGACGTTGGACACGGCAGTGAGAGAGAAAGGGTAAAGGGTGGCAGAACGGATAAGTTTTGCCCATCTTTCGTCATAAAAGAGGTGCCGCAAAATGAATTAAAAGTCACAGACAACCATAAACTCTCCCCAGTAATGAATGACAGTTCCAGCTCTGTCCCAGTAAGGAGGCGAAACCAAAAAAACAAGCATCAACGGAGTGAGGCAAATGCTTTCGATTTTAAAAATTTCTCTGAAACAGTTGAAAACATTTTCCCCGAATCTTTTACCCAAGGACAGAAATGTTCCATATCCACCTCCAATGTGGCACCTCAATCAGCCTCCAATTCTCCCAGCCACATTGTGACCGGAGGCTCCTCTCCCGCTATTACCGACCGTCACCTATGGACCTCCTCTGACAGCTTCATTTGTGAAGACTTTACATTATACGATGGAAAACACAAGAATGCACTCAACAATGTCTTATTGGAACCACCAAGGTCATATTCGCAGGTTCTGCTTCAAACCATCAGCAACACACAGGACGATTTCTTCGACCCTGAAGACGCGGTCGACGACGGGGACGACCAGTTGAGTGAGAACTTTGTACCTGATAGCAACCTTGAGGCACCGACCCCTGAAGCGTGTGCCATCAGCAATGATTCACTTTACGTAATACATGACAATTATGGGGGTAATGTGTTTACAGATGAAAGAAAATCCATGGAAAACGCTTACCGTACTTCACCTCACTCGCCCAGGTCCACAGCTTACAGTGTATTTGATGGAGAGGATCCTCACGTAGTCGGTGACGACTATCAAGGCTCGGCTGCTACTCTACGATTGACAGACGACGCGCGACGTGGACACTGGATCACATTCGATGGATCTACAGAACACTTAAACTTTAATTCAGATGATACCTATGAGTTTATTTCTGCAGACAACTCCACACAAGAATTACAAGGGGAAATTCCTCCTATCAGCCAGGCTTTGGGAATGTACACGGCATCGCCACCGTCGACAGATGAACAGGACAAGAGCATCTTGAACCCTATGCATCACAACGCGATGCATGCATCGGACAACTACAGAGGCAGGCTGATACGGACATACTCACAGCGTGGCCGTCGAGCCAGTAAACGTGTCATTAATTCTGTGAGTCGTCGCATCAACACTGCGGAATACAGCAAGCTAAGAGAACCTGTTGCTCCTATGTACTCCAGAGCGGTGCTCACCATGAACAGCGGACCCGGGTTGTTTGAACCAGGTCCTCCGAAGTCGGTATGTAGAGAACGGGAGGACGGGATGGAAGCAGAGGTTAAGGAAACACCATTTATGACCTCTGTCACATCCCCAGACAAAGCAACATCGAGATTATTCCTTGAACCAAACTTGCCTGAAAGAGTCGGTTCTCTACGAGTCCCGCGGCTCTCTTCAGTGCTAGTCCGTCGTTCAGTGTCTCTTAATGTACCAAAAGTAGAACGAGAAGTTCCCTTCCAGAGACTGCCAGATAGGCGGTCTGGTTCCTTCAGAAAAGCAATATCTGGGCTGGGTGCTTTGGCCCGGAGCTTCAGGCGAAAATCTGGCAGTGAGCTAGAACCTGTGGCAGCTAGTGAGAGCAGCACGAAGACCCCCAGACAATCTGTGTGTCGCAGAGGCAGCTTTAATTCAGCATCCAACAGACAGACTCCCAAGGCCCCGAGGCTGCCGCGACGGGCCACCAGCCACAAGCAAGTGACGGCCGTAGTATACCTGTGACCCAACTGGCCCTCGAGTCTCACCTCGCATTAGGTTTACCTCTGCTGTAGTAACATCTTAGCAACAATGATTGCCAGATTTTTTTCTTTTAAACTTAAACTGTAATTAAAAAAATGCTGAAGTCAAGTTCTCTCAAAAATATACTAAATCTACTGAACTTCCCCAGAGTGAGGCCTTGTTCAACAACCTCAGCCAGCAGGTGTGTTGCTCCTACAGACGAGTTATGTAACACTGTAGCCTGTAGTTGTCTTAGGACGAATTATAGAAAACTCACATAAAATACTAGAGGATAATATTCTCTTTGTACCACCATGGATCAGTTTCGTGGATGCATCTGCTTGTATCTGAAGATACTGTATCTCACTGAGCTTCATATGTGGTGTATGTTGTAAGTTATGCCTGCAGCGTCATTATATAAGGTGGTTGCTGGCAATGCTATTTAAAGTTAAATTCCTCCATAACAGGTGGTGCAAGAACTCTTTGAATAAACCAATTTGATTCAAGTCATAGGGATGAATGCCTACATACCATCAAGACTGCAATGAAATTTTATCACGACTAGTTGTATATTATCATCTCCACCTACAGGAGCAAAAACAATGTGAGATTATCTCAGAATCCTAAACCTGTATCTTTAGTACAGTACTGTACACTCTTGGTAGTGGTTGATTGCCCTGTGCGTGGTGGAGTGAATGCCAGTCCATCTTCACACTGCCGACTCACCACTCAGCAAGGATAAGAATGTACATAATAACACCTGTTAATAGTGAGTCACCTTTACAGATACCATTATCCAGCATGTAACAAATTTAATAAATAAACTGAGTGTCTAGTGTTTCCCTCGCCACTGTAGATTTATTTATTTATTTGATATCGATATTTACACTGAGGAGTGATGGTTAAACTTGTACAGGTGCAAGTAGTTGTTACGACATCTCGCATTCCCACTACTTGTCAGCTACGACCTTCATTGTCCAGTGTTAGTGCAGGAGGAAACCGAATTCACTGAATAAGACCCTTCTCACGACTGATCCGAGTCGTGAACTACAAATAGTAAAGCAAATGTGTTACATATCTTCCAAAAGTAAACTGAATTGATATGAAAATCATAACTTTACCTAGTCGTAATTAGCAGCAAAAATAACGTTTAGATTTGTATTTGTCACCATAAAAACCTATCCATCATACCTACGCTTTTTTGTATGCCCAAATCTGAATAAAGAGATCAACATTCCCTTATAGTGGGAAGGAACTCGCTCAGTAAATCAGGCTATTTTAGGGTGGACACACGGAACACCATACCTAAGCAGGTGGTCAAGTCTCCAAAAGTGTCGACCTTTTGAACAAAACAAACAATAGGCAGAGTAAGCTGTTATGTTCGACTACATACCTACGTATTTTCTAATGACCACCCACGAGAGGTGGCCAATCAGAGGGTAAGTGGCATGTGTAGGATCCCTTCATTGTTCTTCACAATTTTGTCAAGGGATATTTTGAAGCTTTCACTATGTGGTTTAAAGCCACTAATCATCTCACTATAGCACTGAATGATATCACAAGACAAAATAAATGTTTTAACTTATAGACATGGATCCTTGATTTAGAAACATAGTTAAGAAGTAGGCCCACCCAACTTGGGTCAAATTGACCTACTATTTAGTATTTACCTACGTGGACCTGCACTGTCTATGCACATACTAAGCCAATATGATCTTATATGACGATTTTACTTGATGATTATGTATTTACTTTATCAATCTATCCAAAGCGCAAAGGTAGGGAATCAAGGATAGTAAAATTAACATAGTTACCCATAAATAGATGTCTCTTTCTCGTTTTCTCTAAAGTTGTTTTGTTTACAGAGTTGTTCAGGAGCTGGAGGGAGAGCTATTGATTCTAACTCCCAATTATTATCAAAAATGACACGAAATAAAAGCAAAACGGACAAAAAGAACAATACCGAGGAGAAGAAGAACTCTGGTAATGAGAAAAAGTCCAGTAGTTGTGACAAAAAGTAAGTACATTAACTAACCATGAGTGTAGTTAGTAACTCGGCCTCAGGTGAGTATGTTGACTCTCCGGGCCAGGTAATACTCCTACTATATCTAACAGTTTATTGTATGTAATCATCTTATAGTTTTATTTAGGGTGGAACAAAGGTTTACAGAAATCACATAGAAGGGTTAAGAATGATGCAGGAGTTTTAGAGATTTAAAGGACAGGGCAACTGATTGGACTACCCAGAGGAAACATGTATATAATGATTACTAAAAATAACACCAGGTTTTAAAGGGTTCTTAAAATTATTGATTGGTATTAATATTGAAGATCAATAATGAGTTCCCATTCCATCCTGGCCACTGTGGTACAATGAACTTCTCATGAAATAACCTAACCTAACTGTATCTAACTTAAGTATAATATGTATTTAAGATACTTATTTTCAATAGCTGTAGTTGGTTCATTTGGTCTGTTTTAAAAGATGGGTGAAGATTTGGTAGGGAACATGGACTGGAAGCTCTATTAATTATATGGAAGTGGTTATTTGACCAGGACCCACGGTATTGTGTATGACATTATTAAGATTTTAATGTGATTCTGGTCAGGATGGTTGTGGGCATTACACAAGTCATTACATTAATATTTTAAAGCTGAATGCTTTATTACTATTTACTTTAGTCGTCTTCAGATACTCCAAGATACTTCACTTCTCTCATTAAGATTATGCTGTGCATAATCCACGGTAAAATAGTCAATGGCTATTCGGGTGGAATACCAGACAAATAGCCAATGGTTATTCTGCCAGATACCCGTGCCTTATATTACAGGGCGGTAGAGCAACAAAAAAAATAAGAATATACTCCATTTTATTGCATTATGGTGGAGATTTATACTTTTGGAGTTATTTAAATTATAAAGTTATGAAAATTTGTACAGCCATGAGACTGATTGTCATAGCTCCCTGTTAGTGTTGATGAGGTAAATTATTAACCACTTGGATACAGGATCCCCTCAGTGCTGAATAAAATCGTCTAGTGTTAGCCAAATAAAATATTAAAAGTGGTGTCCTGTGTTGAAGATGTTAATAGTAGGATCATCCAAAAAGTATAACTGTAGTTCTGAAGTTTTGTTCATAAAGTACTTTTTTCTTGAATGTACTTGTAGTTTCAGTATGAAAAGAGGACCTTCAATTTACTCAGACCCCCCTAGTGGGAACCGCCATGTAGTGGTGAGGAGGCTTAAGGTTTTGTGTGATCTGATGAGCTACACCAGGGGGGGGGGTGGTCGCCCCTTCCTCAAGGAGGAAAGAGCTTCCCATACTGGAAGGGCTATCAGGGAGGGATGAGACTAAATAGTTCTCTTGAATTGCTATCCTTGAGAGCTGGAGAGTAGCTTTACCACGTGTTTGCCACATGTGGCAACCCGTAAGGCTGGGAGATGGGAATACTCGAGGTTGAGAAGTGCTGCACGCTGTGCCCTGTGGCTAGCAATGCACCTCTTCGGTCCCTTATTCTTGCAAGACGGGAGGCTTGACTTGCCACCCAATCAAGTTAATTAGCTGGTCTCTGGGCCATAGATTTACCCTTCACCTACACATTCCCCAATCCTTTGGCTTTCATGTCCAGGAGCTGGTTGACAGATTATAATTATCACTTCCCCAACTCCCAGTCTCCCCAGTGAAAGTACTGACTATACGTATTTACAACACCAGATCCGTTAATTAAAGAAATGTTAAGAGTAAAGATGCATAAAAGGCTTAGCTACCCCCTTAATAATGGTTTATTTTATTTTAGGATTTTCACTAAAATATTTGTTACAGTGCATAGAATACAAATCCAGTGAGTGAACAAGGAAAAGGTGACATTGAATTTACTAAGGAAACAAACAAAATGAAGGAAGTAAATCAGGCTTGTAGCCAGTGCTCAGTTACACATTAACCTGCTTTGCTAACATCAGCCAGTACTGCTCTTTGAAGCTTTAAAATGTACTGAGAGTGAATAACTCATTAGTCACTAATTTTATTTTGAAATGCCATACAACTGTACTATTAATGGCTACAGCAACAGTTTTATTTGCCTTCAGCAGTTGCGTAAGTACTATTCATGGAGAAATTCCTGACTACAGTACAGCCCTGTAATTCAAATTTAGTTTTTTTTTTTTTTTTACTTTAAAAAATTTCCTGTACAGTAGTTACATTATTTGGGTTTGTTTATTTTTCCTCAACAGACAAATCAGACAGTGGGAAGCTGCTCGGCGCCACCGCTTCAACAACATCATAGAGAAGCTACGACAAGAACTACCAAACTGTAAACCAAAAGCTAAAGTTGAGATTATCCAGACTGCCATCATCTATATCCAGGAGTGTAAAAAACTGAAAGAAAGTTTATTAGCTGGCAATGAAGCGCAAGAGTTGAGTAAGTATTTATTCAGTGTGAAAGGTTGTGGTTTAGAGAGTAGACATTGATATGTTTGAAATAGGAATACTATGAGAAGTTTTGAAAAAGTGCTAACTCTTTCCATAATACCAGTTCACCTGTAACTGTAACCCCTGGATAGTTCATGCCTCATTTGTATTGGGGAGCATATGTAAAACTATACAGTATTACTCTAGAATATAAAGCACAAGTAGACCTCATTTCTCCCAAAATTTATTGATGTAATTTCTCTTTAACTTTTCTGTGCATCGTCCTCAAGTCAGGCAGCTCTCCAAATACAGCAGTAGACTGGGAAGGGGATTAATATATCAACCTGAAATGACATACTGTACATTGGAGAATTGTCTGAGGACATTAAAACGAGCAGTGTCAGAAAATGGGAATTCATGTTTAGGTCTTCATATACGAGACAATCAAAACAGTTAACAAAATGCCTTTAGTTGTAGATTTTACCATTACCTGTACTGGAATTATGTATTTTACTGTTAGGTTTATAACACTAGAAGGAGTTTAAAGTGGTGGTTTACAACGTGTCAAGGGTCATTTTATATACCAGGAGTTCCCAAACTTCTTAAGACCACTACTGTAACCCCTTCCGAGGCCACGCAACCCTGTCACCATTGTCACTTAAACCTTGTGTGTTAACAACTGCATGCATTATCAAGCACATCCATTAGTTTCTTTATACCGATGTCATGTTTACAGCCACATTAATGAATAATGGCACGTATTTCAAACAACTACTATTATGAAATTTTATGAATGATAATGCTAGATATTAAGAATTATGTTAATAAAAGATAATATAATGATATGTTGCTGCTTGCCTACCAATGTGGTGGATGGGCCTGCATATCAGCACGAAGGTCAGCAAACTTAGGAACAATTAAGGACAGTTTCACCCTTAGATCTTTCCCAGCATCCAGTCTTTGGCAATACTTTATCTTTACTGCTGTGATTGCAAAAAAAAAAAAGTCATATAGGTACACCCACTAAAAAATTATTCGGCGCCCTTACTGCGTGATACAATATGACATGGGTGCCGAATAATTTTTTAGTGGGTGTACAACATGGCAAAGGACATAAATAACCTTAAAACTTGCTTGGATAAGTCTAGATACTCTTCCATGATTCATGCCCAGAAATCTGAGTGGTTTTTGTTTGAGTGGTTTTTCAATCCCCATCAAACAATAACTCCAGTAGTTGCTCCTGTTTGTGAGTTGACGGGTGTGGGACAGGGAAAGACTTCAAATGGTTTGTTTATCCAAGTTCGAGACGGGTCTCTGGGGAGAAAGTATCTCAGTAGCTGCTGGCTCATTTGCTTGAGGTGTACAATTGTGGCCTTTCACATGCTCATTCGTGACAATTTTATTTGTTTGATGAATTCTTGTAACATTGGAAAGCACTGAAAGGAATTGACATCTACTCAGTTGACCAGCATATCAGTTTTTTATCATTGCTTCGACCTTGTCTTGTGTGTCGAACGCTGTGACGTTGACACTCTGGAGACTTAAATTCAGTTCATTCAAAACAGAAAAAAATGTCTGCCGGGTAAGAAAACTCAGTCAAACGAGTTGACAACAAAAAATTGCTGAACTTCCGTTCTCAGTTCAAAAAGCTTCTTCGACTCCTTGCTGCATGACAACCAGCACACTTCAGGTCCAGGAGAAACATCTCGTGTTTGCTGCCCATTTTGTTTCACAGCTGTAAAATTCATTGAATTTATTGAACGAGCTTTGATGAAGTGTTACCATTTTTACCAAAACATTGAGCACTGACAGAAGGTCATCTGGCATGGTTTTAGCTGCAAGGACCTCTGTGAACACTGTTGTGTACCCAGGAAACTGATGAAGCAACTTTGCTGATGAGAGATACGAGGCCTTTACGCTTCCCTCTCATTGACATCGCTCCATTGGTACAGATTTTCATTGTATTACAATAAAAGGGTCATGAGACATGTCATGAGACAAAAACAAAAGGAGAAGCAGTTCACATATTTTCACTCAACCCAGCCAAGATCTAAGGCACACTGAGCTTCACTCAATTTTCTTTTCAGTTCATCCATTAGTCGATAGCCTTGTTTCTGTGGGTCATGAATGATAACAATTCCAAGATGAGCGTAAGCGTAATCTCTCAGCTGGATGGATGTGCTCGGTGAAATCCGATTAACCATAAATTGTACTCCACTGGGGTGTACAGAACAATATTAATTTATTGGAAATTAAAATATTCTCAATTAAAGATAACTGTACATCTAAAATGTTTGAATTTCTGATAAGAGAGTAAATTAAATACCCTGTACTAAATCTACCATTAGGGACTTTTTCTCACGCAACACAGTTTGGGAACCACTGCATTATACAAATAGGGTGGTGGACGAGTGGAACAAGCTTAGCAACTTTGTAGTAAGTGCGGGAACTCTGGAAAGTTTCAAAAGGAGGCTAGATAGATTCATGGATGATAGAGAGTGGTAGTAACTCTCGACAGGAGCTGCCATGCACAGGCCAACCGGCCTATTGCAGACTCCTTATTTTCTTATGTTCTTATGTTTATGTACAGTAAATTCATTGATGTACTCCTAATGTTCGTTTTACAGAACAAGAAGTAAGGAAGTTGATGAAACAAGTGGTAGCATTAAAGAAACGAAACGCCTTGTTGGTGAAATTATTACAAGAATTGGGTCTACGCTTTGAAGGCGATGACAGGAATGAAGATGTCATATACACTACACCAGGTACTGTAGAGTCACTCTTCTCTTCTGTTAGTTAAGGTTACTAAGTTAATCACTTGTATATCTGTGTGCAGTACCGTACATGTGTTTATGGTAGTGTGTGTGATGATATGGAAGGATGGTACTGTAGTGTGTCAAGAGGCTTTATAGGTATCAGACCATTTTTGCGGCATGCATGGACCCCGGTGGGTTAACAGATAAAGTTTATTTTTTTCCAGATTTTAGAGTGCTGGGCCTAAGATGTACTAAATGTACAGTAATTCATATGAAAATTGTACAGTGATGCTATAGTGGAGTCTCAATAATTCGCAGGTTAGGCATCATAAGATATTGTGAATTATTAAATCGTGAATTATAATCGATTTAAATGGAAATACACAGGGTACTGTAATTACATATACTGTAGTTTGGTTCCAGAGGCCAAAAATTACCCATAAACTGTTCCAAAACTGCTTTAATAAACATTAAACATCGTACATAATACATAAATAATACAGTAACACACAGATATTGTACATAGAGTAGTTTACATTATATAAACAGGTCCTTCCCTTATCATCATCATCCTCTGGGTTATAACACTACAGCAACATCTGGACAGGCAGGCTCGGGGCTGGCTGTGACCGCATTATGTCAATAAAGAACCAGGAATTTAATACCATACAATAATGCCTAAAAGTAACTTTGATTGTACACAGTAACATTACAGCTTAAAATCGTAGGCATGTAAACAACAATTATGAGAGCATATAAATAGGCAGTACATGTACTGTAGTGAAAACATAAAAAGAGAAAAAAAATGATACAAGTACTGTACACTTTGTGTCGTAATCTTATATCAGAGACACTGTCCACCTCAACACTTGTCTTAGCAATGCAGCCCAGCTTATATATATATATATTTTTTTTTTTCTGTTTGTAGGGTTTTGTGTGTGTGTGTAACTGATTAAAAAAATTAAGAAAATTACATACAAACCTGTACTGTACAGTACAGTATATCAACCTGAACTTGTGATTTAAAAAATAAATAAAACACAAAGTAACAGCCCACACATGGGGAACAGTTAAAACTTTCTCCCTCAGTCTGGAATTACTTAGTGGTCATTTTAAATAATTCGTTGCAGAATATAGCCAGTTTTCAGAGCATTCCAGATACTAGGATGGCGGATAAATGGTCCCATACTGTACCTATACTTATATGTACCGTACAGTACAGGGTTTTTCATTTATTACTGTATTTAGGTCAAAGGCCCAAGGATGATTAAAGAGACTGTACATGAAGGGGTCTATGATTTTCATACTATAAATTAATAAACAAATGGGATAAACATCAGTGATGGTGAATGAAGGGAGAGACAATATAGGACTGGGTAAATAAATTAACACCAACATAGACATCAGTTCAGTTTGACCAATGGCCAGTTCTTGTTGAAAACCTCATATATTGCCTTAAAAAATAACACATTGGTGGTAAATGTATAAAAATTAATATAAAGATGCTTAAAACACATTGTTGTAATAAAGAGTTGTCAGTTCCTAGTGTAGCTGTGAAACATATGAAATACCAATACAGTCCCTGTAGTTTTCCAGTTTTTGGTAAAAGCACATACTGTATTTTGTTATATCAGAATGGTTACCACAAAAAAATTAAGACTTTATTGCTGAACCCAGTGACTCTTAAACACTGTATATTTTCATCACTTCAAGGCTGTGACATAATTTTTACATGTCATTTGTTTTTAATTTATTATCTATTGTATTTAGCCCTTAACTTTTACCAAATATACTGGCAGTGACTTAATTCCATCCACTATCAAATAAGCAATGGAGTTATTTATATGTTATGTGATATCTTCATTAACAGGAACGTGTGTCCAGAATAACTGCACAAATACATCGCACAGGAAGCTAACTTATGGCCAACGCATCCCCATGATGGTAGGAGACCCAGTGTCTGATTGTTTTGATGATGTAGTGGAGGATGACCTACATGGAGACTCTAATAATGAGATTGATCACAGAGATGGACCCTTGTCTACTGAGAAGTTGATATCCGATATAGACACCAGAGTTCCTCCTATTGTTAGTGGGCATGAAAATAGTGCTTCCACAGTTCACAGTAGTTTAGCCCATAGTGTAAATGTGAATCTGAGTGATAATGTTGAAAGGAAAAAAGACCCAACTTCATTAGATATCAGTAGAAGTTCAGAAACTGTATATAATAATTCTTCCCAAACTGTGATACCTTCTATTGGTCCAGAGAATAATGATAGCATAACAGTTCCAATAATTAATAATAAAGGTAGTTCAGTAATGATTTTACCCCAGAACTGTGCAAATGAAAAAGAATCAAATCTACAACTTAATTGTGTGGGAGGACAAGTTTCTGTATTACCTCAAAATTGTGTAAGAGAAATTGGACCACAGAGTACTGATCACCCAAAGGAAAATATAATCGTGGAAGGAGTTGATAACCGTGGCACAGTTACTGTAAGCATTATACAGGATGAGGAAGAAAGTGTAACTAACTCTCCATCAAAGTCTACACCATTACCAAGAAATGCAAAGCTGGAGACAGAACGATCTTCAAGAATATCAAACACAAGTAAAGACCTCATGCTGTCATCATCTGATGCATGTTTAGTTGTTCAAGATGTGCAGCAAGTCACAATACATCCAGATGTGCAGAACCAACCAGTGTCCACTGTGGCTCACTTCTCTGGTCAAGTGACAAATTCATACAATAGCCAGCCACAGATGGTGACCCTTCAGGTCCAAGGAGGAGGAGGAGACAAAGGCAATAACAAGGGGCAAAAAGTAGTATTGCTGCAGTGTGGTAATCCTGGATCAAGCACCATCCAGTTGGTGCCACCCATTGCAGATAACTCCCAGCTCACGTATGTGACCCCTTCACTCTCAGGTGTACCCATCATGTCCACTGGAGTACCTCCACCCATCCTCCGTGGGGGAAAGATTATGAAAATGATGAAAACATCTCCGTTACTGCTCCTCCCATCCCAGCCCATCCTTGCTCCTGTACCTCAGCCACCGAGGCTCAAACCTATTGCACCCAAACCCTGTGCATGTAAGACTGTTTCTACTTGCCAGTCAAGAGGCTCATCACTAAGTGGACCATCTACCAATATAAATTCCACTAATAAGACTCAAGTGTCTCCAGCCAAAAAGGAACTCATTCAGGTCAGTTCTAAAATACCAACAAAATCTAAGCGATTCCTTCCCTTGGATAAGTGTGATAACAAGCAAACAAAGCGAAGTAGAATTGATTATGAATCGAGGGCACCTGCTGTGTCAAAGCTGAACCCTTCTCTGCATCCTTTACAACCATTGGATCCAAATTCAAAATCTATCCCGGTTAATCCAGCAGAAATTTCTGATGAGCAAGGCCAAGACCTTCAAGAAATATCCACATCTACACTAACTGGTCTAGTACATTCAGCTGGAATTATGGACTGTGTTGAGGAAGATCCTCTGGGAAATATTATGGATATTCGAGTCGATATGCCTTGTGTTATTACAGAAAATATTCGTGGGGCCGGTATGGAAACTAGTAATCCTGCAGACGATAGACTCGTAGAAATGTTGCGATCAATAGAGAGTGACCCTAGATCCTGTGGTTTTTCTCCACCATCATCTCCAGTTACAACTTCAGAAAGTTTTGTAAAGCCAGTGAAGGAGGGAGACTCACAGGATCAAGATGAAGTAGAGGACCACAGAACTGAGACTCTTGCAGGAGAAGAGAACAAAGTCAATTTGGTTTCATCTAATGAAAGCACATCAAATGGAACTAAAGCTGCTACCTTACAAACCCAAGAAGAATCAGCAACTACACAAGACCTTACTCAGCTAGAATGCCCAGTCAGCTCCCGGGGGCCAACAGAGAATTCCCTCAGCAGTAGTTCATACAGCATAACTGCTCTTTGTCTATCATCTAGACCAGCAGAAGATATAGATACACCTCTTAGGGATAT